CCTGTTTCTGCCTGAGCAGCCGGTTGATGGTGGGCTATTTCCTGAGACAGAAAATGCAAGGAGAGGGGCTGGTTTGGTGGCGACAGCTGAGAGGGAAGGGGCACGCGGGAGGGCCACTTAGTAAGGCTTTCTTAACCAGGTTGCATTTGAGATGCCTGCTGGGCATCCAAGCTGCTTACACGGATGGGAAGCTACATCATTGCAAATGCATTTTTCAAAGTTGTTGGAATACATTGTATTCTACTTTTTTTAGGGAGGTCTTAATTTTATTTGACTTGTAAGCAACTAAATGCTGTTGCACTCACCACCTCATTACCCTCCTCCCGTTTCTTTCATTCCTTCTCTTTCTGTTTTCCTTTCTGTTGATTTGGAGGAAGGATAAGAAAGCCTGTCCTCTCCCATGGTCCTCAGATATTTCCGTATAGCAAATGCTTGCAACTCGTTCATTCACTCATTCACTCATTCATCAGTGTCTCCCGACCTCCTGGCTCTGCGCTAGGCTAACACGAGAAGCCGAAAGAGGAAGATACAAGTAGGCGAGAACGTGGAATGACGGGGAAGAAACAGAGTGGTGACAAGTACGGCGACGTGCAGTTGATAAACGAAGAGTGCAGGGAGTCGTGGAGGGATGGCTATAGTGATGCTGGAAGGCCCCGCAGCGGAAGTGCCTTTGAGGCACTGCTTGGAGAACGGGGAGCTCTTGAGAGAGGAGAGTGTGGAACAGGCTGGAAGAGCCGAGGGTGTCCAGCTATGGAACCTGGACTTCGAGAGGCTGGAGCTGGTTCAAGTTTACAATAACGGGACGACTGAACGTCAGATTGAACGTCTCACCGGCTGACTCCACAGTAATCCCGTGTCCGGGGAGAAATGCACGCTGCTCGCCTCTGTTCCCGGTCAGAGCACAGGCTCCAGAACTATCTCCACGTGCAGTGTCCTCCATCCCAGGGACGGGGTGCCCCCATCCTTACTAACTCACCCCAGAAACAGAGCTCACTGTCTGGACTGCTGTTACGCTGACCCTTACTTCCGATTCTAGAAAAATAAAGCTTAAAAACTACCGTTGGTGGTAAGATTGCTCACTGCTTTCTGTGGCCAAATAGTGGGGGTTCCATCTGCCCACATTTCGAAGTAAGTATTCCAGTTTTTACATCTGGTCCAACCCCACCCCGGTGGTGCTACACAAATGTGTGTATTAGCAATGTTTTGTGTTGGTGTCGTGGGCATGTGTGAGTATTTGTGTGTGTGTGAACTTGACTCCTCTGGTAGCCGTAGCCAACCTTCTGAAGGAATTCTGAAAGAATTCATATCGAAGTACAGATGAAATGCTCATGAGGATGATTAACGGGCAGAGACAAGGGCCGTTCCCGTCGTGAGAACATTCTTAGGCAGTGTACAAGGGGAGGGGAGCTTACCCACGTGCTTAAAAGCCAGACAGGGCACAAACCAAAACCTCTGCTGCTAACCTCATACGAAGGGCACATCAACCACCAATATTAAGTGTTATTAAATGCAAGTGTTTATTAAAAACACGAGGCTTTATTTGAAAGGATTTCTGGGCTTCTTGTGCTTCATCGACCCGTGTTGGCGGGCACAGCATTACCTTTCAAAGGAAAGGGTTGATAGGGGGACCTAGTGAGAAGGGTACACCTACACGCTGCAGGTGGCTCCGTTTTATGAGAGACGAAACTGCGTTTGGTGGAACTGATTAAATATAAAAACAGCACCATCTGCCATTTGTTCTAATAGAAATGGTTTGGGCAGATGCTGACATCCTTCGAGATGATTGATTCAGCCCTGACAAGACAAGGCACTCAGAGGGCTCCAGGTACCCAGTGCTCAGGTAAGACCGGTATCCAGGCACAGACGCCAGTGCCCACACATGGATTTGGACGAAGCAGGTGATCAGGCAGCACTTTAGTAACGAGCAGCCAGGAATCTCTAAGCACATGGACTGCCTTCTTCCACTCCCGCCTCCCGTGACTTCTGGTTCATATTTAATTAGAAGAACGTTCTATAAACACGCCGCCTTCCGCTCAGAACCTCGATACCCCTGCCCTGCGATAGCTGGCGGCGTCTCGTCTCATTTTAGTGCTGAAAACTTTCAAGTGCCCTGTACATACGTGATTGCTGGGTATAGAATTATTTTTTCTAAGTGGACAAGGGTTTTATTTAAAAATATATTGTTTACGAGGAAGCCACGGCACGTGTTACAGACTGACTTAGAAACAGCTGCGTCTGTATCGCTTAAACACCCGTGGCGATCGAATACCTTTTACAGAAGGGGTCATACCTTGTGTCTTCATGTAGGAATAGTTGCCTAACAAGTTTCCAACAACCTAAATCCTTTTAGGAGGAAAAGTTAGACATCAAGACATGTATGTGGTGCCGCGTTTATAAAATCCCCTTCTATTTATGGAGGGCTTGTTAGATGTAAAACGATTTTTATTCGCTCTACTAGGATTAAAGCTCGAGGTGAAGCTACGTTCCCCCATCTTGTTCATCACACTCTGAAATACTTGAATTTTTTGTGAATAGTTTGGCAACGTGGTTAAGACTATTTCTTGCTACTGGTTTCAATTAGATGAGGCGTATGGATGAAAGTGACAGTGTGTTTGTGAGGCTGAGACCTTTGTGTGTGCACATCACCGTGTATGTTTCCGCAGAGATGTTTCCGTCTTGGTGCTCATAGAAAACTCTGGTATTTTGAATCAGATGCTCTTCCCCCTAATTTCCTTTCTATTCCCCGTTGTCAGTTTCTTCGAACTCTTTCTAGTCTGGTAATCAAAGTAGGAGGGTTAGATTTTGTCTATTTCTCTGCCAACATTTTAAGTGATACTTGTAGTAAGTGTTGCCAAAAACTTCATCTTTCCATCCACATTCTTAGCATTCTTCTCTGCTTCCTCTCTTCTGCTCATACTCATTTCAGTCTTTATACCACTTTTCATATCCTGCCTGCATCTTATTTTCCCCCCAACTTGTCCATTGGTCTTCTCTATACTGTTTATCTTATTTGTTTCTTATTCCTCCAGATTTGGGGAATACGACCATTCACCTTTTCAAAGCAGCAGAAAACTCTGACTGCTTGGTTTCCTTACTACTTCATCATACTTATCCCCACACCCTTCTGTAACCCCCCCACACTCTTCCTCCCAAACGCCCTCTCTCCGCCCCCTCCAACCCCCGTTTTCTCCTTCTCTACCTGTCTAGAGCTGAAAACTGAAAGCACCAGGAAGTAAGATCCTGTTATGGGTAGACTTGTGCCACCCTCCCACCAATTCATATGGTGAGGTCCTAACCCCCCCAGTACCTCAGAATTTGACCAGTTTGGAGAGAGAATTTATAAAGAGGTAATCAGGTGTTGAGTGCACCCTAGTCCAATCTGACTGGTGTCCTTAGAAGAGGACAGCATTTGGACAGAGGCTCCTCTGGGGGGAAGGTGGTGATGTGAAGACACAGGGAGAAGATGACCACCTACAAGCCACGGGGAGAGGCTGGAGCAGACCCTTCCTCACGGCCTCAGGAGGACCCCGTCCTGCTGACATGCTGATCTCGGACTTCTGGCCTCCAGAACCCTGAGAAAATAAATGTCTCTTTTTTAAAGCCCCTCAGCCTGTAGTTCTTTGTAATGGCAGCTCCCAGGAAATAAATACAAAGACCATCCCTGCCCTCAAGGGTCCTGCTGCAGGGGAGCTAAAGATGCAAATAGCAGCAGGGGACAGTAGTGATAGGCTCTAAGGAAGCTCAGTAGACGGTCAGGCTGAGTTTAGGGACAGGCATTGGAAAGGGCCCCAAGGGCTTCAGGAGGAGGGGGTGGGAATGTCACAACTTAATGGTGAGTCAGGAGTCTTCAGGGGAACATTTACAGGGAAATATTCTGGGCAAAGGGGAAAACTGGAGCAAACTTAGCTGGATGTAGGGGACCTGGGGTCAGGGTGAGCTTTGTCTGGTCACTTAGATAATGATGGTGGTCTGTTGGGCACCTTTTTCCTGCACCCCCTGCCCTTCATGACATGACATACCCCCTGCCTCTCCTCCGTCCTCCCTCCTGGAAGACACTCTGTTCAGTGAGCTGATGCACTTTTCTCTGGAACCCAAGCCGTGTTTCAGACCTGGGTTTGAGGTGTGAGAGGCGTGTGTGTCCTGCCATCTCTTGCATGACCTAGTGGTTTAAAATGGCACCGTATTGTCCTGTATCACAGCGCTCTCTGTGGCTGGCCTGAGTTCCACTGGGCAGTTATCTCATGGGGTCTCACATGCTTCGGGTCAGCAGGTGACCAGAACTGGAGTTCATCTGGAAGTCCTACTGGGTGCGGGTCCCAGACAGCTTCTTCCCCTGTATGCCTGGTACCGGCTCAGATGCCGGGGACTTTCTCTCCATGCTGTTCCTCCATGTGTGGGCTTGGGCTTCTGCATAGCATGGCCGTCCTGGGGGTGTTCAGATGTCATGCATTGGGCCTGGCTTTTTCCAGAACAAGCCTTTCAAGAGACAGAGGCAGAAGCTGGCACCCCAGCCTCACCAGTCATGTAGCAATGCCTCTGTCGCATTTTGTTGGCTGCACCAGGCCAGCCAAGATGAGGGCCGTGAGTAGTGGAAGGTGTGGTTAATTGGACAGCAGTTCCCACAAGCATTTCCCAGGTAGTAATATCAGGTTTGTGTTGAATTTCCCTTTCCTGTGGTTCGGGGACTCTGTGAGATTGTCGTCAAGCACCTGAATGAGCAACTGGCACCACAAAATAGATTTATTTATTTATTTATTTATTTGCTGGAGAAAATTGGACCAAAAGAGTGTCAGATTTAACAACTAGGGCCCCTGAGCGAGAGCCGTGATGACAGCACGCAGACCTCTACTGGACAGCCCAGCTGGGGCCAAAGTTTACAAGGAACAGGGATCAGACACACTGTTCTGGCTGGTTGGGTAGTTACAAGGTGACTGGGGGGCAAAGGGAGGCCTTTATAAAGCTCATTAGCGTGACTATTCTGCCTTTTTATCGGGGAGTACCCATGAGCCCCTGATGCGGTGACCTGGGAGTCCTGACGGGGAGACATTCAAGGAAACCCTCCCTGAACTGAGGTACAAGTTAAGTTGAAAATTTCAATGGGCTGCTAATTCTTTCTCTGGGATGTACTTTTCAATCCTAGTGAAAAGGGTAAATTCTTCCAAGCAAGAAAGCCTGTTGGCTAAACAGTTGCAAGAGACTTGCCTGTCAACAGGCCTTACAGCTCCAGGCAGAAGCCAGGGGTGGTCTCACCCTCACTCCTGAGGGTGCCCCTGCATGGGCAGCTCCTGCTCCTCATATTGGCATCTCTCTGTCCACGGACTAATGACTCTGCCCAACTTGTGCCATTTTCTCTGTGCTATTAGTTTTCATTTTCCCCCCTGCAAGCAGATTTCTTCTGCTATGTGCTCATTTCATTCTAATTTGTGGTACCCGAGCATGGTGCGTAGTAAGTGGCCACAGAGGCTCGGTGGAGCTGAGGGCTGCATGACACGTGTGACCCACCAAATGGCATCATGGGGAGAATGTCACCAGTAGGTCCTCATAACTTGGATCCCTTGTTCCCGACTAGAAATGTGCAGGCCCAGCTTTTTTTTGTCCTTTTGATAGGATGGCCATACTGTTTGATTGCTCCCCAAATTACGCACGCATCTGTTGGGGAAAATATCGCTGTGTGATGTGTTTTTAGAGGCTCACTTTCCCTGAGGATGGGGCCCCAGAGTTTGAAAACTGGCACGTAAAAGCTGGAAGAAGGAATATTAACTGTTAAATTCTCCATAAGCAGGAGTGGACGTTTTTCAAGCCAGGGATGTTGACAGTATGGTGACAGCTTTCACCTGTGGGTCTTTTTGGGACCATCCAAGGCAAGCTTGCTTTCAAATGTGCACGTTCCAATGCAAAGGCTGGCTCCGGCTGCCCGGTGGCACCCTCCTTGGCGTGGCCAGTAAATGGAGAGGGACTGGGAACGCCTGCCTGTAACGCTGAGTCTCTACCTCAGAGCTGCAGGGGAGCCGTTTCAGTTTGGGATAGATCTCCTTCGGGAAGCTGCTTGCTATCTCTTTGTTCATAGGTTAGCCAGTTGTCAGTGAATCCTGTCCTCTGAGTGCCCTCCTGCGGGCTGGCCCCCCCAGAAGCACTCTGGGACTTTGGACACACACGCTGGGTTCCTGTGGTCTGTGGTGTCGTCTCTGCCATCTGGAGGGGGGTGGTATCAACTTTGTTATTCATTCAGCCCGTGGGGGCTGACCCAAGGCTGTGAGTTCAAATAGGATTTGAGCAATTTAATATGAGGAGGTGTTTTTTTGTTTGTTTGTTTGTTTTTAAAAATAAATATGAACTGGGTTCTTTCATACCTGTGGCATTTGGGTGGGTTGTCTCTGTGTCAAATGTCCTTCTCTCCCTTGTATACCTGAAAAACTCCTACTCACTGCTGAGAAAAATCCCACAGCTAGATTTAAGTTCCCTGCAGACTATATATATGTGTGTGTCTATCTCCGGCTAGCATATAGAAATGATCAGTGGTGGCTGTTTTCTAATGTTCTCCCTCTGACTTACCCTTTCATACCTTTCTAGGCCTCATTCGCCTCACATCTCAATTCTTTACACTTCCAAACCGTACTCTGACCTAGAAGCTCTCCTAATATTTTGGATAATTTTTTGTGCCCTTTCTTCTAGTTCTCTAGTCTCTTTCTGTAGAGATATTCACCAGCACAGCATGGGGTATTTCAGGGGAAAATTAATTCATTTACCATTTCACAAAGATTTAATCTGACCTTGTTTTTGCCTCACGAACTATGTCAGCGGTGTAAAGGTTGACAGATGTTTTTTGTTGATTGATGATCCTGTTTCCTGGTATGGCCTGCTATTTAGGAGGGCAGAAGCACTTTGAACTTTCAAGACTTAGCTACACGGAGTCCTCCAAGCCTCCCTTGGTTGTTAAATAAGCCTTCTTTCAAATCAGACACAGTGGGAGCTGTTACACCATGGAAAACGGTATGCACTGCAAATCAGGGCTTTTTTTTTTAATGGAGAGCCAATTAACCATTACATCACTAATTATAATACATAGTTTTCGTGCCCATGGTCTCTTATGTACAATTTAACCAGCTTACAGTTCATGAGACATTGGTGGTCTATAAGGTCGTGATAAGTACTCATTCAGAAAAGGGGTTTGGCACAATTATGGGGTAAACACAATTAAAAGATGGTTTTTTAGCTCAGAGGACTTGTCACAGGATTTAACAAGGGTAATGTGCATTGTGGATATTCGAGAGAGAGAGGGAGATATTGAAGGAGGTGTTTCCCTACTTATTTAACCAAAGAACCTTCTCCCTCCAGCATACCCACCCATTACAACGTCACTGGCCTGAGAGAGCTGGTTTAGAGTCTGTGCCTTGAAAGTGTTGTCTTAGACTTATCTCAGGTGTTTCTGTCCCCTCACTCCCCGCCCCCAGTGGTCTGGGGAAGCTTCCTATAGGTGCCACACGAACTGAAGGAGCTCGAACACTTCATGGTGCGTCCTTCTTCAGGCTGCCGCCTTCTAGCCCCATCTTTCCCGCTTCTTACGCAAGGTCCCATTTGTCACAAAGACATTCTTGTCAGTAACACACAATCATTGGCATTTGCTAAAATACTTTTTTTGAAAGTCAAGATAAATTTGCTGTGTTTCTTTTCCCTCAGTACTGTTCATTCTTCTCTAAAACCCTGAGCAGTTAGGGATTGCTGTAAGAAGAATACACCCCCCCCCCCCCCCCCCCCGCCCAATAATTGTGCTTATTTGTTGAGTGACACACCACCATTGATTACAGGCTATGTCTACTATGTGTGGTGTGCACAGCAGGTCTAAACTCAATACTATGCAGCTCCATGGCTTTTCATCTTATAACCATGATTCAGTGCCTCTGTTTGCACAAGGCTGAGACTGTTAGCTCTGCTGAAATTTAAGCAAATAATGAGGGTCATAGCAATGTTTTTGGGAAAGCGATTTGTTTCATATGTTATTAGATTTTTGGAGGGTGGCCTATTGATATGTACTGTGAGAAACAAAAAAAAGCCATATTCAAAAGGAGTATTAACCAATCCCACCCAAAAAATGTTAATAGGGGACTGAGGCTCAGAATAGAATTATTAACCCTATGAATAAATAAACATACATTTTCTCAAGCTATTATTTACAGGGTTCCTGAGGTCTGTGCTTTGACAATTTGCAATCCGTCATATGGAGAATTCACTGTGGGAGTGTGGGCAAAAGTCACAATCGGCTTGAGACCCCTTATGGATGGTCTAAACATGTGAAATTCCATGTGACAGATGCCCGTGAGGTCTCAGAGCTGTTGAGAGACTGGACCTGTTGCATATATACTCATGAGAGTGAGAGCTGCTACACGGAGTCCAGCTTGGTGATAGGTCTGATGATTTCACTTTTAGGAGCTCAGGTTAAGGAAATAACATACAAGGTATATTGACTGCAGCACCATTTATAAATTCAAAAACGTGAAAAAACTTCAATGTCTAGCAATAGGGGATTTATAAAGCACCAATGGTAGATGTATAAAATAAAGGCTATACCAATCACTTGAATTGATGATATTGATCTATGTTTATTGACATGGAAAAATATGTATTATGTGTTGTTAACTAAAAAAAGCTGCTCATGAAAGCATTTTTTTATCCCCCCCCAAATTTGGGGGTAAAGTTTATATACATACATATGTAACTCCCCAAATATATGCATAAGAAAACTTTGGAAGTTTATATATCAGGCTGCTAAGGATGGATGTCTTTTAGGGAAAGAAATATGGGTTAACTTTCTTCTTTGAGTTTTCTGTTATCTGTTTTCTTTTTAACAACATGAGTTTGTTATTTGTTATGAGGAAAATAGCCCTAAAGCTGGTGGTTGTCTCTGTCAGGCCTGGCATATTTCCAGGGCCCTGAAATCTTCCCTTAACATGATCGGGAAGTGCTTTTCCTTGCTGCTGGCCAGTGCTGGTGTGCCTGTCCCAGGGCCAGCCTGACTGTGGTCAGGGGGGCCTGGGATTCACATCCCAGAGTCCCGAGTTCTGGGCTCAACCTCCAGGGGCCTGCCCCATCGCCTGGTAGAATTCTGCCTTCTTCCTGAGCCAAGTACTGGTTCTTGTTGTTTTCTGATTCCTGACCTAGAGTCCTTACCTTGTAATCTCCAGCTTCCTGGCTCTTTCAATGCCATCTTGTCTTTGTCAGCCTCCTGGCACTGGCACGTGGCCTCACCTCCAGCTGTGGTTGCTGGGGTCCTACTACCTGCAGACAGGCTCTCTCCAGAGCTCCCATCTTGGGGTCCGTTACCTTACCGCCCACCTACCATATCATATGCCCAAGGTCTGTGCTGTGCCCCCCAGCCTGGACTGCTTCTCAAGTCCCGCAGGGGCCCTGTGTTCTCATCACCACTGTGCCTGGCCATGCCGGTGGTCTCCGCCCTGTTCAGGCCCACCCTATTCTGTCCATTAACCGTGTCCATTCTCAGCTATGAATATGGGAGATTCCACCCTGTTAGGCCCCACAGACCTAGACAAACCAACTCAGACCTGATGCTAGATATATGTGTGTGTAATTATTGATAATTATAAATAAACTCACCCATTCAGGGGAATTCTGTTAGAACCAATGATATCCAGGCACAAGAAATCTTAGGTGAGAACCACTGGAATAGTTGTTTGTGGATCACGGGTCCTTTGAAGATCTGAGGGAGGCATTCATTTGCTGCCACTTCAGGGCTCCGCACCGTCCCCACTTTCCCACCATGTCCTTTCTCCCCATACCCATGTGTCCTGGTAGGGAAACCGAGGAAGCTTTGCCAACGGACTGCTATGACTTGGGAGTGAGGGTTTGGCTCTGCACGGGGTCCTCCTGGAGACCGTGTCCCAGTCCCGCGCTGGACTGGGGTGACGCTGGGCAGGTGTAACTCTGTGTTATTCCACAGGGAGTGTCACCGTTCTGTCCTTCCCGGGCCAGCCTTTCCCCAAGCGCCAGCTGCAGCCCACAGGCTCGGGCCTCTTCTGGTGTCGTCTCCCATCCTGTCTGCATCTCTGCCGCCTGCACT